ACAACAACAATCCAGTAAATACTGACACGTAATGACCTTCTGAGATTGTAAGGAGCAGGAGCAGACAGGTCATCTTTCTCCCATGGAGTGGCTGGAGGATTTGGACCACCGACTTTTTAATTTGCAGGCCAATGCCTAATCCACAGTGCCAACAGGGTTGTTGTTAAGTGTCATCAAGTCATTCCAACTCATAGTGACCCTATGCACAACAAAATAAAACACTGCCACAGTTATGTTTGAGTTGCTGCCACTGTGTCAATCCACTTTATTGGGGGTCTTAATTATTTTTCATTGACCCTCTACTTTACTAAATATGATGTCTTTCTCCAAGGACTGATTTCTCCTGACAACATGCCAAATATGAGAGACGAAATCTCGCCATCCCTGTTTCTAAGGAACATTAGGCTGTACTTCTTACAAGATAGATTTGTTTGCTCTTCTGACATTACACGGTATTTTTAATATTCTTCTCCAACATCATAATTCAAATGCATTGATTCTTCTCTGAGCTTCCTTATACATTGTCCAACTCTCATATTGAAACATCATGGCTTATGTCGGTTGTACCTTAGTCCTCAAACTGACATCTTTGCTTTTGAACACTTTAAAGAGGTCTTTTGCAGCAGATTTGCCAAAAGTAATCCATTGTTTGATTTCTTAGCTAGATGCATTCTGGCTTGATTGTGGATCCAAGAAAAATGAAGTCTTTGACCACTTCAATCGTTTCTCCATTTATCATGTTATTTATTGCTCTAATGGTAAGGATTTTTGTTTTCTTAATGTTGAGGTACAATCCATATTAAAGGATGTAGCCTTTCATCCTCATCCATAAGTATTTCAAGTCCTCTTTGCTTTCAGCAAGCAAGGCTGTATCATCTGCATATCGTAGATTGTTAATCAGTCTTCCTCCTGATGCCACATTCTTCTTCATATAAAGCAGCTTCTCTGATTATTTGATCGGCCTACAGACTGAGTAAGTATGGTGAAATGATGCAATCCTGGCACATACCTTTCCTGATTTTACACCATTTCGTATCTCATTGTTCTTTTCTTATGACTGACTCTTGGTCTATGTACAGATTCCTTATTAACACAATTAAGTGTTCTGGAAGACATATTCTTCTCAATGTTGTCTGTAAATTTGTTATAATACACAGTTGAAAGCCTTTGCATTGTAAATAAGGCACAATTTTTCTGGTTTTGTCTGCTTTCAACCAAGATCCATTTACATTAGCAATGATATCCTTAGTTCCACATCCTCTTCTGAATCTTGCTTGCATTTCTGGCAGCTCCTGTCAATGTACTGCTATGTAGTACCCTGAATTCCTTGATATGGCTCTTTTATCCAAAGTCTTCTTAATTCCTACCAAATTATTGGGTGGGACCATGCAAATAGGGTGTACAAGACTCTAACATTGGAATTGATTAGTTTTGTCATCCCACTAGACCATCTCAGAAGCAGGAACAAACAATTGCAGGACCATCAAGAAAGAAGAGCATGAGAGGAACTTGAAATTTGTACCTGGAAAAATGGCAACAGCAGAGGTGGCAGCATGAAGGGACAGAGCAGCTATGGGCTTCTAGGCCCATAAACCAAGTAAAGCTTAGTGTCTATGGGTAGAAGGCTGGCATGCATAATGCCCCCTTTGAGCATTACCAACATCCAACAATAACAAGATGAGCCTTATAGCACTTACCTGAGCAGGAAAGAGGCTAAGAGGCCAAGACAAGAATGAGGACTTCCTGTCGTACACCTGAGAGGGGGCATTCTGACTGCTGCATCCTGAGTGATTTCTGATCCTGAATTGGATCCTGATCACGTTCTTAATAAACCCCATAATCATGAGCATTGTCTGTGAGTTCTGTGTGGCCATTGTAATGGATTGTGGGATCCAGATAAGTAGCAGAGGGTACTGTGCAAGGAATGGTTCTTATCAGAACACGGTAAAGAAGGTTGTAGGATGGAGTCGTGTCTGACCTCCACTTCATAGGAACCTGTCTTTGGCTTATTTTAAATTTGATTGTCCTTCCCTAAAGCTAGAGGAAGTGAAACATCATCTCCATACCATCTTTGCATGCAGCAAGAGTTTTAAAATTATTTTCAGCAAAATTTTACTTGCATATGATATTAATGATGTTGTTGTTGTTAAGTGCTGTAGAATAAGTTCCTACTCAAAGTGACTCTGTATAGGGATTCTGAGGAGGAGCTGGTGGGTTTAAACTACCGACCTTGTGGCTGACAGTCCAGTGCCGATCCTATAACACCACACCAAGAGTTTGATATTAATGATATTGTTTAATAATTTCTGCATTTCTGGCCTCCATCCATTTCATTTTTGATGACTCCCAATTCATATGTCATACATTCCATGTTCCAGTTTTTAAGGGCTGTTTCCAGCTGTTCTTTCTTATTTTGAGTTGTGTCCCATCAGCAAATGAAGGTGCTGAAAGCTTTGTTCCATTAACATCATCAAGGCCAATTCTACTTTGAAAAGCCAGCTTCAAACCTGAGTGCCTTCCAACCTGAGGGGCTCATCTTCTAGCATTATATCTGATAAAGCTCCCTGTCTAATCATAAGGGTTTCAGTGGCTCACCATCCAAAGTGATCTGTGTCTAATTTTTTTATCAGTCTGTCTTAGTCTTTAAGTTCTGTTGAAACCTATCCACCATGGGTGACCCTGCTGGTATTTGAATACCAGTGGCATAGCTTCCAGCATCACAGCACCATGCAAGCCACTACAGTTCGACAAACTGACAGATGAGTGGTGGAGATGTGCTGTGATACAGCAATTCCACTCCTGGTATTTACACAAGTGACTTAAAAGCTGTGACACAAAGAGACGCATGTACACAAATATTCATTGTTAACACTGGTCACAATAGCCAAAAGGTGGAAACAACTTAAATATCTATCTGAAGATGAGTATCAATCTGAAGATAAATAAAATGTGGTACATGCATACAATAGAATACTATTCAGCCATAAAGAATAATGAAATTCTAATGCATGTTACAATATGGACATCTTTGCAAATTATATGTTGAGTGACATAAATTAATCAAAAGTAATATTGTATGATATTACTTATACGAGATAACAAGAACAGGCACATATAGAGAGACCAAAGTTTATTAGTGATTACCAGGGGCGGAAGAGAGGAGGAAGAGAAAGTCATGGTTTTGGAAGCAGTAAGTTTCTGTTTACAGTGTTAGGAGAAAATGACAAGGTGATGGCTGCATAATATGATTCATATAATCACTAAATGTAAGAAAAAAACAAAACTTCTTTTCATGAAGTGAATTTTGACTCCTAGTGATCCAATACGACCGAGTAAAGCTGCCCCACAGGGTTTCCAAGGCTATAAATCTTTATGGAAGCAGACTGCCACATCGTGTTCTCTCAGAAAATTGGTGGAACCTTTTAACTAAGACTAACACTAGACCATTGTGCCACCAGAATTCCAGTCACTAAACTGTACACCTGAAAAATGTTGAAATAGCAATAAAAATATGTAAATTAATTGCTTAATACCTATTTTGAAAAGAATTTGACAATTTAATTAGGGCTTTATGGAATCAATTTTTCTAAAAAACAATTTGAAGACAAGGCTGTTATAATCATATGCTATGTGAAATCAGAATATAAAACTGTAGGACTCTTAATAGTCAAGTTCTGGCACAAAATTACAAAACTGTTTTTCATCTCTGCAACTTCAAAGTGAAAATAGGTTATCAGCCAATATTACGAAAACTCAATTTATTAGCCTCATTTTTTAATTCTCTAAATGTTAAGAGCTATTTCAAAACTTTGCAGATGAAGTTTTTCATGTAATTATAAATATTCCTTGAACAAGAGCCATGGTGGCTCAAGGGCTAAGAGGTCAGCTGGTGAACCCACCACAGGAGAAAGAGGTGGGAGTCTGCTTCCCTAAAGATTTACAGTCTTAGAAAGCTTATGGGACAGTTCTACTGTGTCCTACAGTGTCCCTATGAGTCACAATGGACTCAAGGACAGTGGATTTGGAATATCTTGAACATGTCATTAAACTGAGTGCTCCTAAAACACCCAATGATTCCCCTATCAAAAATTCCTGAAGAAATCATACACTCTTTTTAGACTTTTCCCATTAATCCCATATCCAAGACTTGGATTACAGAGCAAAGTAAGTGTGAGAAGTGAAGTAACTCAGCACAAGAGGCCATTCTATTCAAAGAGAACCCTCAGATTGGGATCTCCAACCAGGAACTGGCTCCCACTGAGCTGCAGAGGGTGGGAGCCCTTGTAGGATACCAGGGTCAGGGGGCTGAAGCACACTCACGTGGTGAGGGTGTTGAAGCCGCAGGCCTTCAGCTTCAGCAAACGGTCCCTCCAGTATGCTCTAGGCACCCGGAAATAGTGTATGGAACCCCCAAAGATCAGGAATTTGTGACCTTCCAACGTGAAGTGTGGCGTGCCACCAGTCGTGCTTTTGGTCTGAAGTCCCATATGCCGGTCCTTCAGTTTATCAGGGACCAGATGAGAAAAGTTAAACCTGGCAAAACAGAGAGGAAGGGCAAGTGAAAGTAGGAGAGGTGAGAAGAGAAGAGATGCTGGTGGTGCAGTGATTAAGTGCTGGGCTACTAACCAGAAGGCTGAGATCTGAAATCTTAACAGGAATAAGAAATTCTTGTTAACAGGACCTGGTAATTTTTCTATGAAAGACAAAAGGGTTCCTCCCGTCCCTTCCCACGTAGGCACACCTGGACTGGAGCACTGTTTCAGACTCATGGTTCCCATTATTTTTAGCCCGAGGAGCAAAGCCTGAGATGATAAATGGCAGGAAAAAGATGACTGTGGTTCTCTTCATGGGCAGACGAGTGCTGGAAGGATAGAAAGGATAACCAGATAGGGGAAGACATTCCAGAAGACTATTTAGAGGCAGGCGTTCTGGTGTGTGGCGCTGTGGGTTAATACGCCAGACTGCAAAGTCATTTGAACTGCAAGGTCCACAGTTCAAGCTCACCAGCCGCTCCTCAGAAATGGGTCAGAATCTACTCGATGACACTTAACAACAACAACAACATTTAGAGGCAAGTTGGGCTGGGAGTTGGACCTGAGGGCATTTCAGGTAGATTTCCCCAGGCTGGTTTAATTCACAAAGCAGACCTGCTTTACATACATCTTCCTAGCACAGGATTTGTGAAGTAGTCCAAATCCAAATCCAATGCCCTCTGTACAGACTCATAGTAACGTCTTTAGGACAGAATAGAACTGCCCCACAGGGTTTCTAGTGTTGTAGGACAACGGACTGTTAACTACAAGGTTGGTGATTCAAGTCTGCCAATCGCTCCTGGGGCGACAGGTGAAGTTTTCTGCGTCCCCAAAGATTTAGAGCCTAGGAAATCTTACACAGGGTCTTAGAACAAATCGTTACTGAAGCGACTGTCACATCTTTCTCCCTTTGAACTGTTAGTGGGCTCTGTTAGCAAAGCCTCCAGGACACCTATGCCAGAAACAGTTCATAGAAAGGAAAAGACTTGAGTAAAATACCAGGGGGAGGGGGCATCAGGAAAGGGCTTGAGAGACCGGAGAGAGCTCTGTGAAAGCGGTGGGAGTGATTACTCCATCAAGGTTCTGGAAGTATGGACGCAGCATCCAGTGCGCTGCAGCAGCAGCACTGAGAGCATTTAATCTGTGACCACATCCCGGTTTTCCATCTGGGTCAACGGACAGAGCCTTAGGCTGGTTGAGTAATTACAGTTTCTGCAGAAGACAGAGTTGTGGGATAGAAAACTGGAAATGGGGCAGATCTGAGAGCCCAGGAGTGCAGTGCAGTCCTAAGCAGCCCTCGCCTCTCAATTCACTGTAATATCTCCATGCCCTGATGTGGGACCTTAGGCAGGCTGGTGGAGCATGGGGGCAGTATGGGTGGTTCGAAGGTAAATGTACCTGTGACAAATCGGGAACCCCCTCAAGCCTAGAAGGGAGAGATGGGATGGGACCTGTAGCACAACTTTCACCTGAGGAAAAACACAAGGACGTGGAGCACGGGTCTCCTGGGTCACCTTTGCAGCCTCAATATCCCGCCGGCTCGGCTCTTGGGGCGAATTCCAGTAGGCTCTGCCGCACCACCGAGTTGGGATCGCCTGCGAAGTTCCAAAAGACCTGGGTGTGTCTTTGCGTGCTTGTGCGAGAACCGCCTTCCTTCGCTGTAGCTTAGTATGCAAGTAAGGATTGAGCCTTGAAGTGCAGAGCAACACCGCATCAGACCCAGATATCAAAACTGTCCCTCTTGGCACAGACTCCATTTAGCTTGAGGCTGGAGGCTGGGAGGATCCCCTTGGACTGTCCTCAAGGCCAAAATAAGGGAGAGGAAGCGTAGGAGGTGCCTTGAATGCACTCCACAGACTGTGGGTGAGGGCTGCACTGCTTCAGCAATTCTCTGGTAATGCCCTTCAAGTCTCAAACTCAGCCATTGCTGGGGTGGAGGAGGAACAGTAGTGAACAGCACATTCTCTTCATCTAAAGACTTTCAGACTGATAGGACAGACAGGCACATGTCAATTACCTTGAGCCAAGTGCTTGAATAGATTCCATAGGAAGAGATGCTAGAACAAGAAAGGGACACATACCACCTGGAGGATTATAGTTTCCTGAGTATTGGTCAGTACGTGAGTATTGTCTAAACGGAGAAACGTGGAAATGCTATTCCCATCAGTGGAAATACCTTGAAAGTGTTTACAAATAGCATATATAAGAAATTCAGTTTGGAAAGATTTAGGTATGAATTATCTATGATGGGTCTAGAGAGAGAGAGGTGGAAGGCAGGTCTTGAAAACCCTGAAATGCAAGCCAAGTAGTTTAGTATCTTTCCAAAGAATATTAAAATCAAAACTATGGGCATCCAATCTGCTTTGATTGTATGACTTCATGTACATCAGAGTAGAAATGTGCTCCATTGGGTTTTCATTGTTGCCTCTGGGTTGGCTTGAATCTCCAACTTCTCACACAACAGTCTTTACCAACAATGCGAAATCCCTAATAGATTTCAAGCAGAAACAAAGTCAGATTATGTTTTACCCTAAAATCTAGAGATTTATTAAGAGTCTAGAGGCAGTCTAGACCAGGTAGTGTTTCTTTCATTCAGTTGTACATAAGGACAACTGATTCAATGCCACCTAACAACAACAAAGTGTATAACATATATATGGGATTATATAATTGGTTATGGAGCACTGGTGTGGTGCTGTAGGATAAGCACTGGACCACAAGATCAGTTTGAACTGCAAGGTCCACGGTTCAAACTCACCAGTCACTCTTGAGAAACTATACAGGGTCACTATGAGTCGGAACCCAATTTATGGCACTTAGCAACAACATAAAACATGATTGGCTAAGGGCATTTGTTTTTCCATTTATTAAAGGATGATCACAAGAAAATTGCAGTACATGTTTTACAGGTAAACTATTAAAATTGCTTACTCAATTATTCCCATTGTAAAGGTTTATCAATAATGCTATGCATCAAGACTTTTAAGTGTGCGCTACCACATCTTACATCTGTTTGATCATAGAGGAAAGACCCTCTGGGAATAAATTGTGATATCTTACACCTGCCAATCTTCAGAGAAAAAAAGAATAGCTCCTTTAGGGTAAGTGTTTCAGTGAACATCGAGGTTAGAGGAACTGCTATTTGAAAAGGTAACTTTAAAATTCAACATGGATTCTGAATTCATGTGAAGAATTTAAAATTGAGTTTAGGCTCTGCTTTCAAACTGCTCTATTTACATGCAAAAAGCAACTCTGATTTTAGACTCTCATACAGTTTTATGGAGATTACTTGGCCCCATGGTGGAGGCAAGATGGCAAACAGAGAGACAAATCATCCCAGAGATCCTGGTGACAAGGAGAATGAGAGTTTGAGTTGTTCTCAAGGCTTAAGCGTGAAGAAGAGGATGGTATGGATTCAAGGAAAATGTGTAAGGTCAGACTGATAGCTCTTGATAACTGATTGGATGAAGCAAGTCGTGCAGTAGGAGTGCTATAAGATGACAACCATGTTTTAGGTATAAATGACTTTATTGTTGTTGTTATGTGCCATGGAGTTGGTTCCGACTCATAGAGACCCTTGTACAGGGTTTCTGAGTCTGTAACTCTTTACAGGAGCAGAAAACCTCATCTTTCTCCCGTGCAACAGCTGGTAGTTTCAAACTGCTGACCGTAAAATTAGCAGCCCAATACTTAACCACTACGCCACCAGAGCTCCTTATAAATGACTTAGGTACCAGTTATTGAGATCAGAAATATAGGAAGTAATAGAGAAGCTGTAATAAATGAGAAGCATGATGAAATCTGTATTCTAAATACTGAATTTGAGGTTTCTGTAAAGAGAGTAACCGGCTGGTCTCTCCCCAAGCCTTTGCCTCTTCTCATTACCCACTGCCACTGCGTTAATTATGACTCATAGTGAACCTATATATGGTTTCTAAGATTGTAAACCTGTCAGTTGTCATACTGTGATGGCTTGCATGATGCTGTGATCCTGAAAGCTATGCATGCCACCAGTATTTTAAATACCATCAGGGTCACCTATGGTGGACAGCTTTTGGCTGAGCTTCCGGACTAAGACAGATTAGGAAGAAGGAGAGGCAGACTACTTCTGAGTGTTTCGCCACTGAAAATCTTATGAATAGCAGTGGAACATGATCAGATAGGACCAGAATATTGAATACTGAAATATTATGACTAGTACCAGAATATTGTCAGATATTCTAGTGCTAGAAGATTAGCCCCTCAGGTTGGGAGGTACTGAAAATACAATTGGAGAAGAGCTGTCTCCTCAAAGTAGAATGACCGTGATGACATAAATGGAGTAAAGCTTTTAGGACCTTCATTTGCTGATGGGGAACAACTGAAAATTAGCAGAAACAGCTGTAAACATCCATAAATAATCAGAAAATGGAATGTACAAAGTATGAATCTACAATAGTTGAAAGTTGTCAAAGAATGAAATGCAGCACATAAAGATCCATATCCTAGGCATTAGTGAGCTGAAATGGACTGGTATTAGACATTTTGGACATGACAAACAAATCTGTATTGGAAGAAGTACAGCCAGATTGCTCCTTAGAAGCCAGGATGGTGACCATTCCCTAGAAGAGGACATCATACTTGGTAAAGTGGAAGCTCAGAGGAAAAGAGGAAGACCACCAATAAGATGGATTGGCACAGTGTCAACAGCAATGAGCTCAAGTGTATAAACGATTGTATGGATGGAGTAGGACCAGGCAGTGTTTTCTTCTATTGTGCATGGCTCTGAACAACAACAAAGATTATAAATCTTTACTGGAGCAGACAGCTTCATCTTTTTCCCATGGAGTGGCTAGTGGGTTTGAACTGCCAATCTTAGAGTTAGCAGACCATGCCTAACTCACAGCACCACCAGGGCTCCTCTCTCACCATTAAGAAGAACAAAAACCCAAAACCTATAGCCAGCCATCAAGTTGATTCCAATTCATATTAACTCTAAAGGACAGAATAGAATTGCTCCAAAGGATTTTCTTTATAGACGCAAACTACCACAGCTTCCAATGAAGGATATAGTGTGTTCGAACCACTGAGCACTTCAATTACTGTACTACCAATCTTCCTAAGAACAACCCCCAAAGGAGGGGGGGAAAACCACACAGTCATCAAGTCAATTTCATGAAATTGGGTTTGTTGTTGTGTACCATCAAGTTGGTTCCTACTCATAGTGACACTGCATAGAGTTTCTGAGAGCAGCTGGTGGGTTTGAACTGCTGGCCATGTGGTTAGCAGTCCAGCACCACAACAGGCTGTAGGATAAGTACTGAACTGCTAACCACATTCTTTATGGGAGTAGACAGCCTCACTTTTGAAACCCTTATAGTTTGGGAAAACCCATGAAACAGTTTTACTCTCTCTATAGAGTTGCTATGAGTTGGGATCAACTTGAGGACAACAAATTAATTTGATTGCACATCTCTTGACATATAGAATAAAGATAAAAGTAGTTGCAAAACAAATTCAAACTATTTTCAGTAGCCATGTTTTTGATGCTAGTGTAGGTCTTATTAGGCTGATACTATTGTGTATTACGGTTTGGTTCTGTTGTGCAGAGGGTCACTATGAGTCAGTACCAACTCCATGGCACCTAACAACAACAACAACATTGTGTAATAAATCCAATGAATAATTACTTGGGGATCATTGAGAACTGAATTTTTTCTGTATGGTTCAAAGACATTAACTAACTACGTTCAACAGAAACTGTAGTCCAGACTTTCAATTGGATGAATGATTATGAATTTATAATATTCATAAATAAGTTCATGAAATATATTTCATACTTTTATAGTAATCTTTGAAAATATTCAGTTTTTACCACTGGAAAAATCTAGAAAGAAACATCAATCCAATAGAAATGAGAGCTGTTATATACAATAATATCAGAGTCATAACGCCTACTGCTGCTGCTGCTAAGTACCGTTGAGTCAATTCCAATCCATGGTGACCCTGAATAGGGTTTCTGAGGAGCAGCTGTGAACTTGAACCATTGATCTTGTGGTTCAAACTGACTGCAGTCCAGTGCATTAGCCCACAATGCCATACGCTACCACCAAAAATATTGCTTTCATATGGAGAAAAAAATTAATTGGACATATATTTCACACTGTACTTGAAAATCTTGTCTAGATAAATTGAAACACTGAATGTGAAATACAGAAGTAAAAACTTTTAGAACATAATTTGGAACAATAGTTTGATTATACAAAGCAGGAAAAGATTCTCATATAAACAGTATATGACAAATGTAAACCATAAAGAAAAAAATTGATAAATTGGATCACATTACTATGAAAATTAGTAATCCTCAAAATATATGAAAATACAAATCATAAATAAACCAACAGAATATTTATGTAATTAAAAAATGGATGGTATTCAAATCAGGAAGGAAAAGACAAAAAACTCATTAAAAAAAAAAAAAAAACAGCCAAAGACTTGAGCAGATATTTATAAAAAGGAAGATTAAATGGCCAATAAGTGCAAGACTCACAATCTCATTAATAATTTGCTGTTGCTGTTAAGTGCAGACTGGTGGCATCTACCTTACTTGGCAGTCGAAAAGAAGTTGTCCTTCTAATGTGTGAACTCTGATCTAGCATTGGTTGGCTAGCATTCAAGAAATGCTGCATGGACAACTGATCTGATAGACAGTGTCCATGGAACTTGTGAGTTCTGGGTGACTAAGATCAAAGGCAGGGTATACCACATGAGCAGCTGG